AACGACAATGCTTATATAGTAGATCTGCCTGCAGATTTCAAAATAAACCCCTCTTTTAACATAGAAGACTTAGTGGCATATGAAGGTCCTGATTTTAACCCACAAAATCCACTATCAAAACAACCTTGTGTGAACCCACCCTGTGATATCCCAAACCTACCTCCACTACCAAATATTCCCAAATTTCCTATAGCAGAGCAAGTGGAGGCAGTCTTAAGTGATGAGATCATATCCACAAGAGAAGGAGGACGAAGAAAAGGGCAATTGTGTCATGTCAGCTAGAGTCTTTTGTATGAGGCTATTTAAAGCCCCTTTGTTTTATTTTCAAGTTAATGAATGATTATTGAGATTTCTTCCTGCACTTGTGTTTTGAGAGCTTTGAGAGTTCTTGGAGAGTTTTGGAGAGATCCCGTGGAGAGGGAGATTGGTGCATCACCCACCAACCTTGGAGACGGCCAGGTTCGTGGTTCTTCTCGTTATCTTTTCATTTTTTCCTCATCGAACTTCCTCCACCTTCCACTCCAAGCCGCCGGCCTCTTCACTCAACCCCGTTTCCATCCCAAACCCCACGGCCTCATCTTGGCCGAAGCCCCTAGCCCCATAAACCGTCGACCATAGCTCCTTTCCGCCGACCACCTCCCTTCTTTCCCCTTTGATTTGTTTTCTATTTCGGATTTGGTATTATTTGGAGTATATTTGGATTTGAATTCAAAGTATTTGAATTTCAAAATATTTCCAAATATATTAATTCTATTTTAGGAAAGTTTTTGAATAAGACCCCTTTGAGTATTTTCATTCAATTGGATTTAATTTAAAACTTTCCTGATCCTAGAACTTAAAATAGGAAGCTATTAAACATTATTCACTAAGGTCCACTGGACCATCATTGCCGTCGGCCCCCTTACAGATAGAATTAGGAATTCTTTACTAAAAGCTCAGCCCTTCTCTTTGGAAAGATTTTCCTTCCCCTCATCAGCCGAAATTCCAACATTCAAACTCCTAAATTATTTCCTAAAGCTGTGAAGAGGAATAAGGAAATAAATCCAATTTTCTATCAACCTCCCACTGCTCCTCTTCACCGATTTCCTCAGGAATTATGTCCAGAATTGTTTGTTCTCTTTGGAGAAGTTTGGGATTGTAACCTGCTGTTGACTGGTCCTTCCCCAAGCCATCACCATGGGTTATCTCTCCCCTCTCTCCAACCACTACTTCTTCCTTAGGCCAAAGCATTGAATGTCTTGAGTTCCCTTCTTCCAAACACCTCCTCCGCATCAAAATCTGAGAAATTTTCTCAGAAGTTTGGAGCCAAACCTGAATACGGTTTCAGGTTTTGGAATCGGCATTTGGAAGAAGCCATGAACGAAGACGTTAAAGGCATCGAATGACGGACCTCAACATCTTTTTGGCAAAGGTTTCTTTTCTCACTTGTATCTTATTTCTTCGAAGTCTAAATTCTCACTTGGTTAGGTTGTATTCACGAAAGCTCCTTCAAGTGTTCTTGCTAAGCTTAGTCATTCGTAGGAATTGAGCGTGTTTTCTATGCATCCTAAGTCTTGTTGTTAAATTAGGGATTACATTGAAAACTACTACTTTGCATTGTTTTACTTATTTTAATTATTTTGAAAATTTTCAACGCTTGGAGCATGTGATTTAGCCTACGCAAAGCACCTCTTTAACTGTTTTAATTGACGTTGTGAATTGCTCATAATTTTATTCCTAAATTGTTCTAATCAAAGAATTGTGCAATGTTTAAAATGAAGCCATAAGCATATCTTCTAAGCAGTCCTGCATCAGTTATAGACCAAACGTAATCACCCATTTTACTTCTCTTTCATGTGTTGACACTCTTCCAAATTTCTTCATAATCTGTAGGACTTCTTTTAATGCAACACCTAAGGTCAAATATTGTGCCTTAAAACTGTATTTTCATTATTTTCAATTAATTCACCATATACATTTTAAATTCTTACCAAAATTTCCTCAAGAATTTTTGTTTGATTCTAGTAATTTGTCACAACTCAACAATTAAATTTTCTTCCCTATCCAAAATAACACTAATTGCATTAAATTTTATTTGCCTGAATCCTAAACTGTTGTCAAAATAACATCGGATACATCAGATGTTTTAAAATAACACCGAATGCATCCATTATTAATAAAACACCATCGTTGACCTTTGAATAATAATTTCATTCATTTTTTTTCTAATTTATAATTATTATATCCTACAAAATGATTAAAATGAGGTTATTAAAAATCATAGTACTTCTATTTTCTTTCTTCCTCGTCGAAACGAGACTTTCATGCACTTGATTTCTTTCTATTAAGCAATCACATACTATAATTTCAATTAGAGTAATAGTATTTATACAATTTTTTTTTAAAATTTGAATAGAAAATTAGAATTAAATCATTTACACTTTCTCTGTCATCAGAAATAGAAACTTTCAAACACCTCTTCCTTCCTCTCGCTGAGCCCAAATCTTTAAACAACCTAAAAAGTAGAGAAATTCTCCTCCCAAGATTTTTCTTGAGTACAAATTTCTCTCTCACACACACACACACTTAGGAGTGTCAATATTTCAACCCATTTGGAAAATAGGTCAGGGTTGGGTTGCAATTTTTGACCCGATTAAAAATTATGGTCGGGTTCAGGTCAACTTGAAAACACGAAATCAGTCTAACTGACCCAGGTTATGCTCGCCTCCACCCCGCCCTAACGGCCTCGTGCTCACTCCTCCACCCACCCACGCTTGTAGCTGTCTTGAGATTGCACCGGAATGGACGCACCCTCACTCGTGCTCGCACCCACACAGCCGCACTCTCGCCCTTGCTTGCATCTGAGCTCTCGCCATTCACACCAATGCTTGCCTGCACGTGCTCATCCGCTTGCGAACCTCGCCCCCTAGCCCTCGTGCGCTTTCCCTTTGCCTTGCCTACTCACCCCCGCCCTTGCACCCTCTGCGCTTGACCGTTCATGCCTCGTGGCCTCATGGTTAATAGGTCGAGTCGGGTTCGGATCCAGGTATCTGAACCATTTTGCAATTCGGGTCGGGTTTGAGTTTGCTGAGTTGGACCCATGTCAGTTCCAAATTCGACCCGAATACCCATTTTGACTCCCCTACTCTCACCCAATTTTTTCTTCCTTTTAGTCACCGTTTATTCTACTCCTTTCGTTCATGCGACATTTCTAAACAAAGCAGAAGTTGATATTTCACGTAAGGAGTCGCATTTATTTGCTTTTGATCGGGTTGGTATGCTCATTCGTGGAATCCCGAGCTCAATCGCTAGCTCACCCATTCTCATTTGTGCTCACCCGCTTGCTTTGTTGCTTGCCCGCGCTTTAGTTAGGGGATCGGTTCAATTGAACTAGTCAAGCTAGTTCAAACATTCTCCCTTTCTAATAAAAATTTCGTCATTGAAATTTAAATGAGAAGTAAATAGACATACCTTAGTTGAATAAATATGGATATTTAGATCTCATTACCAACTCTTTCCCCTATGTGTTCTCTCTTTCTATTCCATGCTTCCATAAAATTTGCACAAATGGTATCTCTTGATTCCTTCAAGCTCTTCTACATATTTTAAATCAAGCTGCAATTCAGTTGATTTTGGAAAAATTCTTTTTGACTTATCAAATATATATTTTCGAAGTACATATATATGAAAAATATTAGAAAATTAGAAATTTAAATCACTTATAGTTTCTCTGTTGTTAGAGATAGAAACTTCCAAACCACTCTTCCTTCTTCTTCCTCGTCTTGCTAATCCTAGATCTTTCGACAACCTCAACAGTAGAGAAATTCTCCTCCCAATTTTTTTCTTGCACACAAATTTCTCTCTCTCTCACCCAATTTCCTTTTCTTCCTCTCAGTCACTGCTTTCTCGGCTTCTCTCATTCGTGTGACATTTATGGACAGAGCGGGAGTTGATATCTCACACGAGGAGTCACATTTATATGCTTTCGATCGCATTGGTCTACTCATTCGTGCTATCCCAAGCTTGCTCGCTCGCTTATGCTCACGTGCGCTTGCCCATGCTTGCCCGCTTGCTCTGTTGCTTGCGCGTGCTTTAGTTAGGGGACCGGTTCAATTGAACCGATCCAGCCGGTTGTAACATCTGACTAAACAAATTAGGGTCGATGATAGCACTAAATGATATAATCATGATATCTTCATTGGGTTCGTCATCACTTCCTCTACCATCTGTTTTAAATATAAGATGGTAAACATCAGACCCAATATCAAAATACTTCTACTAGATGTAAGTATTTAGCTTCTAAAGATTTGCTTTAATTGAAAATTCTCTCTTATTATAGAAGGGTAATTAACTAAGACTTGTGCCAATGGGAAATGTGGAACTATATTATAAATTTTTTTTTTGAAACGGGAGCAAAACCTCTAAGTATTGTCAATCATGAATGTCTTCTGAAAATATGACCCAAAACTATTAAACTCTCCCAGCAATTGTCGTATGTTAATTTTTGGAGCCCACACTTCCTTATTCATGTAATCAATTGATATTTTTAGGCAGAGAACAATAGCTCTTTCAAAGCAAGGTTCCTCACATTTCTTAATTTAGCCTATTAAATTTATCTTTTGGATTATAGGTAACATTCTGATACCTCACTGGGAAGTATTGCAATATTAGTTACATGTTTTTAATATTTTAGAATTATTTTATGTTGCTAATTACATTGTTTATATTACCAAGCCTCAAAGTAATTAACGGTAGAAGTTCCCTTATTCATTCATTGGGTAGTTTTGGATCGTGGAACTCTTAGTTTACTTTTCAAAAAATGGTATAGTATAGCATTTGAAAGTCTTGTTTCTCTCTTGTAGAAAGTAACAATCAGAAAATTCTGTAGGAGGAAGATCAACTCTAGAAGATATCTAAATTTTGTGCCGATCTGCTCTATCCTTTTTGAAATTCTTTCTTGTTATTTTATTATTCTTATACTGCTTAGCGGATAAACATCCTAATATACTTTTTGTTGCCAGTGGGTTACAAATTACTGAAGCACTAAAGTTGCAGATGGATGTTCAGAAGCGACTACATGAACAACTAGAGGTAAGTTGTAAATTGTTCTTATTTCTAATGGTATATTGATGCAGGATGTATTAAGCTCTACCAATTCATAATCAAAATTAACGATATGAAATCTAAATTTAGAGATGCTTTGTAATTTAATTTGTGCTTCTAATGCAAACAAATTCACCAAAAAGCAAGCAATTCGAGAGGAGGTAAACTATCTATCTCATTGGATTACATACTATATTATTGATTGAAAATAAAAATACTAAATCTGTGTGAAAACCGATGATCCTCCTAGGAGAAATTAACCAGAAGAAACTTAGATCATAAAAGAAGCACAGTAGATCTATATTTCGTGTACACAGAAAAAAACTAGATATGTGTTAACTCTGATTAATTCCAATCTTTCGTTGCAACCAGTAACTAAAATAAGATGAGAAGAAGAGAGAGAACATAATGCTCAAGTCTCACAATTCATTAAGGGCAATTTATGAAGATTTTGAAGAAGAAGAAACCTTTGCATCTAAAGAAAATTCTTTGTGCAGTAGCTATTAATGTTTGTAATTTTAACCCTTAATTTATAAAAGGATGCAAGGTAGAAGAAATCAACAAATATTTTACAAAAGTTTTGGATTAATGTTGAGCATTCATTACTACAGTTGATTAGACCGTAAGGTATGGTCTAGAAGAATATATCTTATGGTGGATTTATTGTGAGGTATGTTATCTGTAATGCACCTTATAATACACTGATGGAGCTCAAGTTTTGGAAATGTAAGGTACAAAAATCTCTCGTTGTACTTTATGGCATCTCTAAGTTAAGGTATTACATTCAGTTCTATAACCCGAATATAGTCTGGCCTCCCCATCAACATATGAGATTATCACGTACGGTATGATCGTCTAAAATATAACGTAAGGGACATATGATACTTTGGGTTGCATGTTGATTCTCAATTACAACTTAGGAATCAAATAAAAACTATAACTCAAATATTAGTATGTAACTTCAAATAAGAAAAGGCTTAACAAACTGTCGTTTTCATTGGAAAGGCATACCGTAGGTTGGCTGATGTTTTCATTTGTGGTCACTCAGAATCATGTATGAAGGGTCACTCTTGGATATTTTCAATATCTTAGACGCGATGGCGAAGTCAATTTTGTAGTTGAATGACGTTTTGATGATTTTGTGTGACGTCGCTCCAATTAATGTTATGCTTGTTGTTATTCAATCTCGTTGCGTGTTAAAAGTGCCTTTTTGGTAAATTCATCGTCTTGAAATATTGGCTCTGATCGCTGTAAAGGTGACTTCCTCCCGTTCACACGCTTCTTCTACGGCATCCTCTTCTCTCGGATCGGAAGTCCCGACACTTTGATCGGAAGCAACAACACGAGCTCGCCGACTGCGAGGGAACTTTCTCCCTTGAGTATGCTCCTTCTGTTCCTCTGTGGTCGTTCGACTACGCTCCTTGGACGACTTTCTCTTCTGGTCGGACCGGAAGTCACGAAATTTTGATCCGAGGCAACAATAGGAACTCGCGGCTGTGAAGGTAACTTACCTTCTATTGTGCGCTTCTTCGGCTGAACCCTATAAATGTGTCGAACCAGAGAGGTAGAAGGAGAGGATGATTAATGACTTAATTAAGTTTAATTAGAGTTGATCTTAATTAATTATAATTAGTTTTAATTGTAATCATGTTAATTAATCAAACTAATTTTAACTATAGTTAATTATTATTTATTAATTATAATTAATTGAAGTTAATTGATATTAATTAGTTATAATTATAGTTAATAGTTTAATTGATTATAATTAATTAAAAGTAAATATAATTAATTAAATATAATTATAATTAATTAATATTAATTATAATTAATAAATATTAACTATTAAATTAATTTATAATAAAAAATACATGCCTCTCCCACCTCGATCCACGAGCTTCCACTGCCGGTTCACCGGTCGCCAAGGTATAGACCTCCTAAACTTGGGAGAACCCGCCCTCGGCACTTGCAACGGGGCGAATAACCACCCATGCGTGCTTTTCTTAGCACGGTGAAAGGAAGTTCGCTCCAGTGCTTGTGGCAAGGCGGGTAATCCCCCTAAAGTCATTTTTCGGTGTTTGTAGCACGCCAAGGGACCACCCATGCACGCTTTTCTTAGCATGGTGGGAGGGAACTTGATGCGGTACTTACAACGAAGCAGACGATCCATGTGCGTGCTTTTCTTAGCGCGGCGGGGCAAAAATATAAGTACTTGTACGCAGGGAAAGAGCTGCCTTTTTCGAACATATGCTTTTAAAGACCCATGTACATTTTTTTTGGTGTGATGGATGACAAAGACTATGGTTGTGGTGTCTCACAACACCAACCATGCACGTCTTTCTTGACGCGGCGGGTAGGCTGCTTTTTGGTTTTTTTCGTAAACCGGGGAGACGCTGGGAGGCTGCCGAAATTTTGGGTGAACTTGAAACAAGTTGAGGACCAAGTTTGAACTCAAAGGACAGCAGGGGATTTATACTTGGACTTGTGGACCCAATGCAAATGACTAATAATAAAGATTTTGAACTTAATCAAAATGAAATTGAAATGAGAACTTAACTTGAGCTCAATTTGGACATTAATTGAACTTGCAAAGACTTCAGGCGATTTTGAACAAGAATTTGCACTGTAGACATGCATTTGAACTTGAACCATACAGCATCAAGTGTGACTTGTGAACTTGATGAACTTAAATCTAGATGAATTAGAGCTTGAACAATCACTTACACTTGAACTAAACAAAACAACAAGAAGACTTACAGAAGTCCTTGACTTGAATCAAATAACAAAGAACTGAACTTTGAATGCTTAATCAAGCATGGAAATGCAAATGTCAATTTAAGCTATGAATTATTTAGTTGTATCAACTATCACTTCATGATTAGTTTTGGTGTGTAGTCACCTATATGGAGTCTTGCTATCAAAGCCGGTCAACTTGAAAGTACAGTGGTCCACCAAAGAAAGGGAACATCGATGAGTTGTAAATGCAATGGATTCTCTACAAACATGAGTAAGAAATATGCAATGGGTGTACTAACCTCTACGTAGTCAATCTCAAACTGCAAACAAGTACATCAAACCACCTGAGATTGGTGAAAGGTGAATATGATGCAGGGACAATGACTCTTCTACGAACACTTCTAGGAGATCATAGTGAATACAACGGGTCCCTACAAATAAACACGAACCACTGTGGGCACAAGTACATACATCACCTACAACAACGGTGATTGAGATGCTGTGAGTACGAAGACAACTCAATGTACGGAGAAGAACACATCCTGACAGAATGGAACAGATGTTTGAACAAATTCGAACTAAACTTCATGGTGTTCCAAAATTTCTTCTTGGTCCTATACTTTGAAGAAAATAGTTATGGTATCCACAAACACCGGAAATAACAAGTCTATTACACTAAAGAGCTTAAAAGGAGTTCTTTTCAAATCATCGGCCATTGATTTCAAAGTCCAAAAAGACCTCCCGATGAATGAGAAAATGGAGTCTGTATCAAAACAATGAAATGTCTCGTGAGATTCAGATGAAAATGCTATGATTCAGCTATATCCAAAAGCAGGAGATTAGTTAGTGCACTACAATCTACCTACGTAAATCATGCAAGTAGTGCACGTCAGTCTACCTGTACAAAGCAACAAATAACTGATCCAGAAGCTGCTACAACACCCACCGGATCTTCAATCACACCCACAAAAATCCAAAAATACCAAAATTCCAAAAAGATCATCCAAATCATGGAGGGGTTCACAAATACGATGGCCTGGGACGACGGAACCATGAGATCTTGATCGGGTCTATCATCCATTCTCCCACCATCCGCTTTAAGTGCGAGATGGTGAAATTTTTATTTTAAATATCAAATTTCCAAACCTAAGCCCATACTGCTACTATATGTCAGATACCACGTACCCACGGATACGATGTATTCATTGACGACTAGCCTTAATAAAAAATTCTCTCATTATCGGGAGAGGTAATTAACTATAGGGGCTTGCGCCTATATGAAACTTGAACTCAGATCATAAAGTCCTCACAAAATGAGGGGGAAATCTCTAGGTAGTGTCTTATCTACAAACCCATCTGCCTTCCAAAATTTACCCCGGAACTTAATCCGTTAAAACCACCCCCGAAAAAAAAAAGCAATGGTAGGCGGAGGCTGGGCCGAATTTTCGGAGCCCACAAGCCCAAAAGAACAAACCCTAGATCTCAAATGTATTATCTCCTTCAAGATGAAAACAAACCCTAGCCCAGAAAAACTAATTAAAGTCAAAGGAAACTTACAAAATCCCTAAACAGCCTTTAATTCAAAATTTCCCTCCTAAATAGCAATTTAATTAATTACTTGGGCCCCACTAGGGCATCCATCCCGTCCCACCCACCCCCCCCCGCATCCATCCCGTCCCCCCCCGCCCCCTGTTTGGGCCGCTGGTTGTAGAAGAGTACCGGTCCAGGTTGGATCGGTTCAACCTGCCCCTTCTAGGCTGGCCTAAGACAATTGCAACGATGAAATTGTGGCACAAGGTAGGCAATTTTGATGGATCGGGGGTTAGATGTGGGACAAATTTATTGGGATCATAAAAGAAGAGTCTCAATGTGAATGATGCTTTTGGTGGAGATTGAGAAGGAGATGAAGCACCTAACAAGAGGCTCAAGGAGAGCACCATCATTATGGATCTAACAACTAAAGTAGTTAGAAAATAAAAAACAACGAGAAAAATTGGATAATTAGGCAACTTCGAGCTTACCTAAAACTCTAGAAATTCATTCAGAAAGAAGAAAGAGAAAATTTAAGGATGCCCATAAAATCAGGTAATCATTAGGTTGCATACTGCTAATTCTTCCCAAGGAGAGGTATATATATGATTGCATGATCTATAAGACCTATTTAAATATACGATTTTTTTTTTGAAAATTGCAAATTTGCATTGAAAGTGAATCAAAGAAAACTAATTACACTTGATAAAAGGGTAGCCATCCTC